CGCAACAAAATTGAATTGAAAGTCTATAATTTTTAACATTGGCCTCATTGGTTTCCAAGTAACCATGACCATAGACTAATAGAACTATTTTAAGTTGTAGTGTGTTGTTATGTTCACCAAGGTTTTACGAGCAAATTAACGAATGCAGTACAAAGGGGAAAACACCAGTTGTTACTATTGAGCAAAGATTACACTGAAGATTACTCAATGTAGGGGTTCAATGGAAATAAGCTAATACTACTACCCTGTCATGGCTTGGTTCCCAGGTACTATGTACTACATAAAACCAGGGATACCGTCACCTCTAATTGAGACTTTTAACGAAATTCCCATAATAGGGAATAATCTATTACCGTAGATCTCATGGTAAGACCTAAACCCGGAACCGATTTTTATCTTCATTTTAAGAGCCCCAGAGGACAATACACACTTCGTTCAAACTCATATGCTGTACTGTATATAATAAATGTGTGTGTAAATTTGGAATAAAGGTTAAATTTGAAATATGTAGATCTTGATGAGTTTAAGTTATAATTGGGCCTATTAGGCTACCGGTATGCTGATTCAAAATGTCCAATGACGATTTGTCCTTAGTTAGTGATTTAAACGAGATGGATGATGGTTACCAATTTGGAGTCTCTGTCTTCACGATAAATAAATACACAAATTTAAGATACTGTACAACCATACTAACAAAATCCGTCTTGGAGGTTATGTTTACACAAACTCAAATAGTAAATAAATGTACTCGATGGGTTTCATTGAATTGAAAAATAAATAACAGCAATTAAATTAAACAGCTGACCAAAATGTAAACAATTATGTTCTTCATAAGGATAACATGGGAACTTTCAAAGCCACTGGGGCAGAGCCCAAGGGACTTTTTCAAAAATGTAAGGCCAGTTTGCAAATCTACGCGACACGCTCTTTCCAATGAGATGTCAATGGATAAAATCGGTTAAGAAATGGCGGAGGAGTTCAACCGACAAAGTTTCATGTAGCGTATTAATTATATAGATTTTCGTAATGAGCGACATTTCCTACCTGTAGGCTAAACGAAACGTGATACGTATATCTATATAATTAATACGCGAACACGAAGTTTGTCGGTTGAACTCCTCCGTCATTTCTTAACCGATTTTATCCATTGACGTGTCATTGGAAAGAGCGTGTCACGTAGATTTGCAAACTGGCCTTGAACTGGATTTGAAAAAGTCCCTTGGGCTCTACCCCAGTGGCTTTGAAGGTTCCCATGTTATCCTTATGAAGATCATAATTGTTTAAATTTTGATCAGCTGTATAATTTAATTGCTGTCAATATTTAAACTGCATTTCAAAGAAAAGCGTCCTACAAAAATTAAATCTTTGAAAAAGAAAGAACCCATTTGCAAATTATTGAAACATTAAAAGTCATAGAACGCCCCCTAGTAGAAGAAATAGAGATAATATTTTTTTAAAGAATTAACTATCGTCATTAGCCTGTATAATGAAGAACACCTACAAGATTCAGTTTCCTACATACTATGAACGAGGATGTTAGCCGAAGTGCTACAAATTTTATTAGGAAACATGGACTTAACTTTGTGATCATTGCAGAGGAAAGCCCTCTAAAGCCAAATAAATCTGGTACGTCAATGACATTAATCTATGTTTTCATAAAAGTCAAGCAATTTTAATAATAGCCTATGAAAATATCCAAGAGCCCCTTACCTGAAGGCTTTTAATTATTATTCATATAATGCTAAGGGAAACAAAAATCATCTGAACAACAGAAGGTCTTTAACTTTGCATTTTCTCAGGTAAATATAATTAACGTTATTGCAACTAAACAAAAAATACACCAATTGAACAAATAAAATTGTGACAGACAATTTGATGAAAAATAAGTACGAAAACGAATTTAACACAAACAAAAAACTAACATTTGGATTATGGGTTAAAATTCTGGTGACGCAATAACAACGATAAATATACAGAAAATCAAAACAAATTGAAGACTGGTACACAATCATCACATGTTTGATTTTCAGCGTGGGATGAATATAGATAAGTTCATATTTTATTTGGATTGTGGTCGAGTTTTGACCACTGGACGACATCAATTCTTATATTAAAGTACTTAACTCATTAAGGTACTTCAATAATACCTAAATGATAAATACCTTCTATTTAACTCAAATAAAACAATCTGGTATTAGGTATAGATGTATTTACTCAAAAACCTATTTCTATGATAATTTAGTCTCGAAATCCAAATGTTTAGACCTATCTATAGATTATATCCGCTTGTTTGGATCATACAAATCTAGATAGCATTTTTAAAATTTTAAATATGGTATTTTTTTTACTAAACCCATTATGCACTACAGACATTTTGCGTACAATTTACTTTGCTAACATACACTCTCATATTTGTTACGGAATAAAGATTTATGAGGGAACAAGTAATTGTAACTATAATCAAATTTTATATTTACAAATGAATGCTACAAGATGAAACCTTAACGTGGATTAATCCTGTGTAAATTTTTTCCGAAAAATAGGAGATGAAAAATAGTGGAAAAAAGGCACTACGACTTATTTGCGTTGTGCATCACGAATATTATGTAGAAAAAATTTCGAAATTTCGTACATACAGCTGAAGAAGTTAAGACTAAATATTTTTCATAGTTTAGAAATTTTAAAACGTGAACTAATACTGTATTTCCTTAATATTGTTGTTGGAAGACGGCAATTGCTAAAATACCGTGCGCGTGAACTAATTCATTCATACCTCGTGGTGGTCATCTAAGTCGATTACTGGACAAACTAAAAGTCTTACGAAAAAATGTTTGGAACAAAAATTTAAGAACATCTTATTATCTATACTTTTCTCGCTGAAAGTTTTCATCTGACCAAAAAATAACAAAAATCCTCGCTCACTTACTTTTTCATGTTTACATTGAACAACCTTTTCATATTTTCCATTATTAAACATTAATCATCTGCACGAACTAAATTGTATTTATATAGTATTAAACATCAGTTTACGCAGAATTTAAATATGTAAATTTCATCCTCTCACTATTTGTATTACAATTTAGACGAACGTGCAAAGCGACAGGGAACGCACCACTTCGAATAGTCTCGCCAACATCGGAAACTCTCTTCCAGCATGTGTGTGTGTAATGGGTGCGTGTGTGTGCGTACGTTATCGCTTCCTGCACGGACTGTACCCATTGTCACTTGGAGTTATGAAACTTGGTGTTATGAACCCTTGGAGTTATGAAACTTGGACTTGTGGTCCTTGCAAATCTGTACGTTTGGAGTTATGAAATTTTGTATTTTAATTTACTTGGTTTTATTTTAACTTGGACTTATGAATCTTGGAGTTATGAACGCTTGGAGTTATGAAACTTGGTCTTATGATATTTTGGTTTTAATTTACTTGGACATAATTTTACTTGGAGTTATGAAATGTTGTATTTAAAAGTACTTGGAGTTATGAAAACTTGGAGTTATGAACCTCACCCAAAATCGGTCGGGTAAAGAGCCAAACGAACTCGGCAAAGAAAAACCAAAATTAACTCCCATAAGAAATACATGGGGAGCAAATTTCGTTTACGTATAAGCAGAGTGGGATTATAGATAAATATATGCCGATGCTTGATGGCAAATCTGTGAGTGCATATCAATTTGAGACCTCAATCATGAAAATCGGTCGGGTAGAAGAGCCAAACGTAGTTGGAAAAGAAAAACAAAGTGTTTTTAATATATAAGATTATGATTTGAATAAAATAACATACAGACAAACGCATTTTCGTATTAAGTTTATATATGTTTTTCGGGTGCAAGGAACAAGTTCACAAAAAGTCCAAGTAAGTTTTTGTAAACCCACAAAAGTTTAGGTTTATAATAATAGTGTTTTCGGTTTTATATACGATCGTACCAGATTATAAATGAGATATTATCAAACGACGCAGTCTTGGTTATCTGTTGACAGTTCCTCCGATCAATATTGATATGAGAATGTGATTGTTATCAGCACCACTCGCCTTCTCTAGACTCGCCCGCGTCGCTTATCGAATGTTGTTTGGTGATTGGGCCAATCAAATCAATAAACAAGATAAATAGCGAGCCCATGTAACATCTCCAATGCCTTCCTGCTTGTACCATACGACCAGGGTAAACTTTTATAGTTTCAGGCTTCAACGAAAGTAAGAATATGGATGAATACGGTATGAATACATTTTAAACAAGTTCGTCATTACAGCAATACGAGAACGATTCAAACATAGAATAATTACTTTTCTTTTGTGTTTTCTACGCCAATGGTCTTATACCAACTAATGCCACCACCGTGGACATATTTGTTAGAAAGCATCATTAATACAATGACAAATGGCACCCGTGTCTGGAAACGATTTAAAGGCGAGCTCTGTAACCACTCGGCAACCCAGACCATTGGCATTAATTTTGGCATGTTGGTTTATGTATGTTTTTTCACAGTCCACTTGATTTTGTAAATAAATACAACAATCTGTGTAAGTATTTACATAATTACATTTCGTGGCTTTTGCTTTTGTTTACCCAGTTGAACGACTTTTTTCTAGACTTTGACTAGTGATTTTCAGGAAGACTGCCCTTAACTCCAGAGAAAAAGAGGGTCGTGAAGATGTCCTCTCAGATGTTTTAAGATAAGCATTTTTTGTTATTTACTTAACAGAGTGACTGACTGTTCTTCACTTTAAATTTTTGTCTTACAGGAAGAAGCCACAGTAAGTTGACTCTAGAGTGTAAGAGAGTCGTGGAAATGTCCTTTTGGATACTGGAAGATTGTTTTTCTTGTTTACTAAGCAGAGTGACTATTGTTTTATCGTTGGCCTGTTATGTTTCAGAACTCCAGCGCAATAGGGTTCCAGTTAGGTTAGCTCTCATTTGTTAGATCACGGGCTTTTGTCGTAGTAACGTAACCATAACCGTAGTAGACCTAATTCTTAAATTTTCATGTTGGATTACAGGAGGGCTGCCGTTATCGCCAGAGCAACAGAGGTTCGTCGGAGTTCCCTCACAGGTTCTGGAGGATGGGTCCAGGAAGTATGACCATTGCCTCGTGTACGATGTCAACCTCACCGACTGGTTGTCTCTTCACAACGGCTCCTACCTGCCTCCCCCTGACCCGCAGTGGCCCACGGTCAAGTGTCCGCATGGCTGGAACTACGACCACAGGGACTATGACAGCACTCTTGTGACAGAGGTCAGTATCCGTGACAACAATATTACACTTTCTATATTGCGCTCAGTATCCATAAGAGATTCAGTCAGTAATAGCCAAACGTAAGTTACTCGGTTACTCAAAATGTTATACTTTTGGTAGTTTATACCCATAGATTTCATACAGCTTTAAACAACTTTAGCAAGACTATTTATGTCAAAAACGCTACAAAAACATATTTTTGTAATACCTACTAAGAATGTACCATCACAAGGCTCATTGTACTCTGATGTATAAAAATGAAGACCGAGTTAAAACTGAAGTTCATATAGCGAGATGTTTATATGCTCCACGTGAGACACGGCCATTTTATTTTATGACGTATCTGCTCTTCTAAAGGGGTCTTTGACACCAATAAGAACACCTCGAGAACCCTAATCCAATATGTACGTAAAATTAGGTATACGTGAATGTCAAGTAAGTGTAATAAAACTTATTTTAGGGCTATAACGATGTTGACCAAATCAACATAGTTTCATGATTTGTGGGATAAACATTTGGGGTTTTTTTAAATTCTAACTATAACTTGTATTGTTCAGTCAGAGTCAGTCATATTTACTAAAGACCACGCCATTGCACTTTTTAGGGCAGTTCCTTTAAACATTCGTTGCGATCACTTGAACTGGAAAATACTGGAAAAAACTCATAATCATAACGATTCAGACACTCAAATGTTGACTGTTATATTTGCTTCAATAATAATGTTTAGCTCTTGTTGTTTTAATGTTCAGCCTTTCAGTGAAACTACTAAACAAAGTAAAATCACACTTACGAATCACACTTGAAAAAGAATAGGCAACTCAAAGTAAAACGTTGTCCACTGTATCAAAGTAAGCATGGGGATTGACTCCTCCCAAAACAATATGACAAATGAAATAATAGCGGCTGTTATACAATTTGACACCGTCACGGAGCGGAGAGACGGCCGTTGTTTATCCACATGTCTCCCAGCAAGAGATGGGTGTTAGTAGTTGGTAGTAGGTCAGACCTAAGGTGCGTGACCGATCGTGGAATTACGCAGAAATGCATTACTTCAAAATGTATATTACTCCAAAAACTATGCTCCGAAAAGAATGCTATGCCTTAACACTGCTCCAAAAAGAGGCTGAGGCACTGCTACGAAAGATATGTATAGTGACTAGTGAAGCATAACTCCAAACCGTATTTCCTTACAAGGCAAAACTAAGTAAGTGCTTCGAAAATGTAGCTTGGAGCAATGTTGTAGGAAAACCGTAGTACAACCTGTGTCCTCGACTTAAGCTAATTCGTCTTTGCTCTAGAGATAAAAATAACTACTTTAGCCCCACAACGTCTGCAATGCAGTATAACGATAACCGCTTGTTGGAGAGGTAAAAAACTAACAGAAACCCCCATTGAATAATTTTAGAGTTTGTTACGAATGTATGTCAATGGTGTAATCTAGAAATCCGTCCCTCTAACTTAATCAAAGCAATGAATAAAACTCCGTCTAAGGCAACATTCCATCTACAGACCACCTGTTGCCACTATGTAAATCAGCTGCTAGGCATACTGCCAACCACACAAACCTGTATTATCAGTTTGCGAAAGCAATATATTAGCGTGAGTGTGAATGGAAGCAAGTTCCAATCCGATGTCGAATTAACTACTCGGATCGGATGAAACGCATAATCGCAGAGCTGAATTTTGATTGATGTTCATTGACCAATTAGGAATTTTAAATTGATGTTAGCTCGTTATTTTTCCCATTTTCGCTGTAAATAAAAAGTGTTGTATTTAGCACCGATAAACAGTTAGCAGATCTTTTGGTCCATAGTAAAAATATGGTTCTTAATTTATTGTATGTTTCTCGAAAATTTGACTTGAAATATGTGTTGAAGAAATATATCTAGAATAAACCCTAAGATTGAGTGCCGGGTACAGATTACAACCATCAGAAATCTACTGGTAATTCTCAGGATCGAACTAATTACAGTATTAGGTAAGACTGTATTAGTTTGTAAGTTTACTGTATTAGGTATAGCTCCCTGTAGAAACATTAGAATTTAGTCAAATACCAGGGCAATATAATCATCCATCACTCATTTCTCACTCATATTTTGATAAAAATCAGACGCGTCCCTGCGTCCCCATCTCAAACTTTAATATACAGTAATGTAAAGTTAAACATATCTGGTATCTGAGTGATAGTGCTGGCCAAAATAATATAGCCATATAACTGCCAGGAGAGATTCGCTTGTTCAATAATGAGACATGTAACTAACTAGTTAGTATACATATCAAGCCCAGTAGTCCTTGATTATTGTACATCTAATCAATGTTCCTGGCTAAAGAAGCGGCCAATCTTTGTGAGAAACAAAGCTGTAGAGATCATATCACCTAAAGCTAATCTATTATAAATCACTCTACCTTGATTATTGAGCTTCCATTAATTTTCATTCTAAAATACGCAGCTCTTTTTCTTTTTACAGGAGGCGTTGTTATCTTTAATTAATTACAGTATAGGAATAAAGAAAAATACGCATTGAGTAAACTGAAAACTGGATTCAAGCTGATCAAAAACATTTTCTTCCGGCTATGTTTTGTACCAATAGACCATAAGTAACAAACTCAAAGCATTACTCATCCGAAACTCGTGTTTAATTCAAATATCGATTAAAATATAGGTCTAAGTTGAGTCCCTATCTCAAATAGCAACATGCAATAAATGATGTATCATCAAAAGCTAATATTTTAGAAAGCAATAGTTTTAGAATGTGTATGTATGTCTGTATGTGAGTTTCATGACAGTTGTAGACACGCGTGTACAATACTTGTCGCGTGTTTGGTAATTACCTACTAATTTACTGAGTAGTGTACAATGTATAAACCTGTCTCCACGCAAGTACACGTAGCGCCAAGCTCATCAGATAATGTTACTTAAACTACACAATGAATAATGAACGGTCCATTTGGTAGATTGGCCTAATTTCCAGAGAGAAATAACACCGTTTACACCCTGGCAAAAGTGAATACGCCTTGCTAACTAATCCTTCACTAATTACTTCTTTGAACATTTTGAGATAACAAAATATTTAACGAACCATGGTAGATTTCGTACTTTTCTGCATTATTTAAACTGAAGAGAAGATAATATTTTAACTTATCATAGCCACAAGCAACTTATCTTTTGGTTGTTATTTTGAATCAAATTACACTAGCCTTTGACTGAGTGTAGGTAAACATCTAATAATATTTTAAAATCCGAAACCTGATTTGATGTGCTTTTTCTACGTAGCCTGTTGTTTGAGTTAACCATAATTTCTCTTTTATTACGAGTAGAGGTTTTATAAATTGTTAATGTCAGGGAAAAAATTAACAATAATTGTTTAATTAACTCATTCATTTTGTTAAATTAGTTTTTAACTACCATAAACTAGCTGTTACCCACGGGATTCACCCCGTTTGACTTCGTTTCCCCGTATTAATAAAACTATTGATTGTTTAAGTTAAGCTGAAATAAACAAAACAGATGTAAAGCAGATGTAAACAGATGTAAATACCTTGTACAGTAATACAAACAAACAATCACGACTCATTTTAATAAGGTGATAAATTGAAAGAATAACAAACAAATAAGTATTTTTAACATTAGGTAGACAAAAATTTCCCTTTAGAAAGGAGTTACGACCTTAAAGGGCAATTAATGAAATAATGGATAGTTTTGCGCAAGGTTTCTCGTCAAGACGAACATTTTAAGTATATGGTTTATGGGGGCGTGAATTGTAGTTTTCTCATAAGTTCAAGAGTACTTTGGGGATTATGGATCAACCTTAAAGTTGTCATCAGCTGATTCCCAGTGTACCGCGGAGCCCGGTGGCAGTATGTGTGGTTATGGTTATGGCTGTGGCTGTCCAAGAGAACCAGTTCACCGTCGCGACCGCAACTTTATCCGCATTTCGGTTGTGGTCCAGCAACCATGGTCGCTTCCCAAGACCAACCAGTCGCACCCACTGAAGCTCTATCTGAACGCCGAGTGATCATACACACTTTACTTTAATTTTTTACTTCGTTTACCATAGCTATATAGCACATGATATTCTTCATTATTTTTTTGTAAACAATTTGAATTCATTTCACTTTTTCTGTTCACCAAGCAGTGAGTGTTATGCATTTCATTTCACCAAACAACAAGTTTTTCTACAGTTTGATTGCACATTTGGGAGGTATATGCATATCACAAATTTAATGTAATTTGGGGCAACAAAATGCATTGCAAAGAATTATAAAACTCACAATTTTATAGTCACTGATGTTAATCTTAAAAACCTAATGTTAGCGACTTTAGGTGGGTGTATTATATTTCTTGCAACACGTAGCGAATTTAGGTGCATTTGAGTGGGTTTTATATATTTTTTTACATTGTCGAAAAATAAAACAATTTTCAAATATATAGTAAGATATGTACAAAAATGTATTCACTGCCACATAATATGCCCTGAACTTAAAAAAAATAGTTTTAGACTCCTAAAAGACTATATAAAATCGAGTTTCTGTAAAAGTTAGTCTTTGTGACTTTGATAGGTTTTCCCGTACACCCTATTTATTTCAAAAGCTATTGTTCAATTTTAATTTTTCTTTTATTTCACGCCAACATTATCCAATGCAGACATAAAAGAGTCAGCCAAAACCAAGTGATGAGATAATAATGGATGATGATGTGGTAATTAAGACAGCAATAGCCTCTCACACTCAATTACAGGGTCAAGGACAAGGGGGAATAGGGGAGACAAAGTTATAAGCTCATAAGGAATTAATCTCTCAATTTTATGTTCACTATGCTCTTGATTAGCCCAAGTTAATGTATTAAAAGCTTAAAACTCTTAAAAGCCTAATAGTCAAAGGTAGGTAGTGTACGGTTTAAAACTATAAAAAAGCTACTGACTTTTCTCAGATCAAACAGTTGACCTTCTTTTACCTTTATCATTCATTATAGTTACATATTGAGACAGAAACACGATCTCGTCAATTTTGTGGATTTTAGCCATGAATATGAGTGAATCAAGAGTGTAGAATGGAGTGAAACTGGTGAAACGCCTTTTGTGTAGCTTTAGTTCTGGCTAAGTTGGGCTCCTGTCTGTTTCTTTAGCGAGGGTGATTATCAAAGGCCCATCAATGATCAAGAACACTTGGGTCTAGTTTTAAATCATCACAAAACAACTTTTCTCAGGATCGAATGGGAGAAGTTCTGATTTTGTTATGCTAGCACCACCTAGCCACCACATAACATTTTATTTTGATAACATCGTGACTTACTATTTATCTAACAAGCAACATCTCACTGCTGCAGACAAGTTGTTTGTTGCTGTACAAACAACCTTTATATGAGACCTGTTGCTCTAGATATGATATCAGATATTTGTACTGGTCAGTAACTCCGAATAAATTTATGGCCCTGGTACTGAACACATAATATATTATGATGCTTTAAAAGGTCAACTTTCTCATTCGATTGTATGTATGGCCTATTCCTGTGTCCATGTTGTGTAAAATGTTAGATTTAAGCTTCACATTACATGTTGAGTTGTTTATGATAACAAATCACCAAGTGCTAGTTTTTTTAACATTTTTTTCAAAAAAATAGTTTCATCATAAAATTATATGATGGTTTTTATTTAGGAAATCCCTATTTTGTATGTATTTATAAGAGATAATGGAGAAAAACAATGGATTTTCCTCCAAAATAACTGAATAAACCATATCAGCTATTGATTTGATCTAATTAATAGATATTCTGTAGTTGGGTGCATCCTTTTTTGCCCAATGAGGTATTTAAGCTCGCCAACAATTTGAACTAGATGAGTTATGACTTCACAAATCTGAAAAATTTAACGGAGAAAACAATTATATTAGTTCACATAATTTTCTTTCTCGGTCAAAACTGTTTGCCACAATTCTTGTGGACTGTAGTGGTGATAATGATCTGTACTGTATACTTCCACTATATTTGGATATTATCTAAAAAAATTGACAAAGAACTTGCTGCCAACAGGAGGTTGAGCAAAGTTGTAGGGGAACCATGTAACTTACCTATCAGAACTTTACTAATGGAAGACAACAAAGGGACAGTTAGTTCAAACGTTTTCTTGATTTGCACAGTAGCCTATGTTAATTGACTTAGCCTATATATAGAAATATAAAATAATCTTAAAAAAACACAATGATAATGCAGTACAGTATAAGCTTCAAATCTGTAAACTGCTAAAAAAATCCCTTTGTAAACAACATATTATTATTTTAAATTGCAATTTTGATACCGTCTATAATATAAACAATAGTATATTTCACCACTAGGGCGTAAAGTGACTCTTTTCAACCCAAGCTCAAGTTTCACAAATGAGGCGAAGCCGAGGTAAAAAAATGAGCAAGAGTTGAAAATAATTAAAAATAGATTTTACCTTTGTCTACAGCTCAATCTGTTGTAACTTATATTTGGTTGAAAATACACCTATTGCCCGTTAAATAATGTTGAACCATGCGATTGCTTACAATAAATTTTTGTAAGGTTTACAACAGCTGACTTTTGCTAGAGACTAATAATGCTTTTTACTCCCTATGGAGTAAAAGAGCTACTTTATACCCACAACACATGCATGAAAAACAGCTGCTTTTGTTGCAGTATGAAAAAAAAACTTCATATTACCATTCACTATTGGATAGTCAAATATATTAGTTAGTTTTTACTTTTTAACTACAAAATCTTAACTTAACTACTATTTGTTTACAGAAAATCAAATCAACCTCCGAATCAATCGTATTTATGATTCTCAATTAAATTAGAAGCTTGTTTTATTTAATGCTGATTTTATTAAATTTTATCATTGACTATTCAAATATAGAAGGCCCTTTTATATATCATGGTGCAATATAGTCCATATAGTACCATATAGTCAATGGTTTGATGTCTTTAAAAAATTAAACTTATTTATAATCCAAATTTTAAAAAGTGTTACAATTACGGTTTTTAATAGTAAATTTATAAGGCATCATGGATGTCTATTATGAGATGAAAAATCAATTTATAAAACGAGTATTTATTAATTGTTTTAGTGGCTACTGTCCTATCTTGGGCTATTGTATTTTTGTACAATGTATAAAACAATTGTGTATATTTTTCTCGGGATTGTATTTTGGTGTCTAAGGTGTTATGTTTGTTCAGCTAGATCTAGTCTGTGACAAGAGCTGGTGGGTTTCCACATCAACTACATTTTTCTACGTCGGCTCACTTTTGGGAAACGTCGTTTTTGGATGGATAGCAGACAGGTTTGTGAGTGTGTATTTAGTTATATAATATTTCTATTATCTTTATTCTATTTTCAAAGTCTATAGTGTATTTATAAGCACAACCATGAAAGACTTAATGGCTAATTAAAGACTCTTTAATTTACAAATCAATGTTTTGGTACTTTACAGTCTCATTTTAGAGTTTTACTGCATCTAAGTACTTAGCCAGCAGTTCCCAACATTTTTTTGTGTGGTGACGTACCTGTATCCTGGCTTCTTTTACCATCTACCTAATGAGTTTGTTTTAAAAATATCATAAAAACAAGATTTGTAATTTAAATACTTATTTGAATGACCGTCTAATTCGGGCTTTATAAACCAAGCTGAATTAGGACCAAATCCTATCTTCCATTCTGCCTGGAGAGGTGCGGCCCTTAAAAAACCCATTCGCCTAAGTAAGGAAAAACGCGTACAAACTTTCCTTGGAATGGTCATGTCTGATATCTAGACGAGTGCGTTAAGTGATGTCTGATGTCATCACTGATACCACCACATTCGGTCACATTAATAATAGGTAATACAAAGAAACTTAATACCAGTATACCTAATATAACTAATACGACATACAAATACTAGATTTTACCCTACCCCAAAAAAATTACAGTACAATAATTGTCAAAATGAAAAGATACCGTTATTAAAATGATCAAAATGAATTTAAATATATGGCATTAGACATACGGTATTAAACACGGACTACTTGGACTACCCTATTAAGGGCACTGGATACTGTACTACACAAATGTTTTCATTTGTCCATCCTGACGATAAAGTCATCTCCGAATCGCCCGTAGGAGTATCACCTCTGATTGAGAAGACGTTATAAGGATTAAATAATAATATATATTTTATAAATATAAATTGATTATATCCTAGTAATATTGTTCAAAGTTCATAACCCAATAGGATAAGGTAAAACGCTGACTTTTGTAATGTCTCCAGATGGGGCCGTCGCAAGGCTTTCTTGTCCATCCTGTTCCTGATGGTGTTCTCATCCATTGCTACATCGTTCTCACCCAATTATCTCGTCTACACAATTTTAAGAACAGTCAACGGACTCTTCTTTCCAGCCATCTTCCAGATCCCCTTCATTCTTGGTATGCTATGGCTATTTGAATTGTTTTTCAAATTTTTATTTTTAGAGAATTCTCATCACCACTTGGATGATATTTTATAAGTAGCCTAACAAAAACTCTGTATTAGTAGAATGAAAGTAATTTCTCAACGGTATTTTCAGTTATAAAATTAGTATAAATAAAGCATGATTTTTAAGGGAGTAATATTTTTTACCTAACCCGCCATGTTAAACTTCCCTATCCCAAGCGTGATGTATACAACTTCCTTACTTCTCGAGTGATGTAAAGTATCAAAAACTCACTCGGTGATGTAATGAAACCCATTTAAATAACATTGAGTGATTAACTTAAAAAATATACCTCTATGGAGCCAACGACGTTCAACGCTAGAAATCAGCTGTGCTCTTGAATTTTATTGTTTTGTTATGTTTTGAAGAATTTTCCTAACCTAGCTTTTGTTTGTAAATGAACGTTCCTGTTAGAAGATGAGTGAAATGGATGATTAATATTGTTCGTAACCTCCTGTATATTGTCGGGTCAGGTAAAATCTTGTACGTTACACGTTACGCAAGAGCGTGTTTATACATCACTTAGGTAAATTATGCAACTCGCTTCCGCTCGTTGCACAACCTTCACCTGCGTGATGTAAAAACGCTCTTACTACACTTGTAAAGTAAATAGCTATTACTAGTTTTAGTTTTGTTTGAAGGGTTAGAGTGGCTTAGTCACAATGGTTTTGTTGAGGAATGTCTTGTCACTTTCTAGCTTTAATCTTTTGTCTGACAGGCCGATGACAAGGGATCATAATCAACCCAGTTGGGATCAAACCAGCAACCCTCAGAATTTGAGACAAGCACTAATCAGAAGCACACTAATCCCAGACATTAATCTTCAACTTTGTTCGGTACATCCAATAAACAAGTCTGAGGCATATGTGGATGCTGGGATAATTAAAGGATTAAAAGAGGCAACCAACCTCTCAAGAGTTTTGAATCATTCAATCAGCATACACACGTTGTTTCAGCACTAGAGATGATGGGCCCCAGGTACCGCACATTCGCTGGGATGGTCATATGCATGTTCTTTGCCATGGCGATGTCTCTACTAGCTTTACTTGGGTACTTCCTACGCCACTGGTTCACTCTATCGCTCGCCACATCTGTACCATTCTTACTGCTTTTCAGGTGATTACAACATTTGTTCCATAAAAAAATACCTAAATACTTAAAACAAAATTATACAATAAACTGCTACTATTTTATGTAAAGACTGCTCTAAGCTAAGCTGATGTATGATTTATTCTTCATCTCTTCTTCCGTGTCATCTCCAAAATGTAGCTTTGTGTCTCCTGTTGACTTTATTATTATCTACATTCTAAATATATTGTTTTAATTTCTAGTTTCTCAGTTTTTTTATGTCCTTTAAATGATTTCTCATACTTTTATTTATTCTTGTTAATAAAATTAAATGCTCTATGAAAGTCTTGTGCCTATTACAGTTATTACTGGATCACTCCGGAATCTCCTCGATGGTTGCTGAGCAAAAATCGAATCGATGAAGCAGAAGTCATTGTTCAGAAAATGGCCAAGATGAATAAAAAACCTGTTCCTCCTAACTTTTTGAGGACATTGCAGGTAAATCAGTACAACTTCAATCCTTATAGTTTTACATGTAAGGTCAGAGGTGCTACTGGTCCAGTGGCTAGAGCAAAGAACTACTTGGGAGCTACGTTCTAACTTCCAATGACTAACAGCTATTTGCTTTTTGATCATGAACTGTAATTTAGAACCTCTTGTTGAGCTACAACATAGTTCCACCCATAGTATCTGATGTATAAAATTTAAATTACCAAAACTAATGGATATTGAAATCTCTCTTTTTATTTCTCTACACACGAAAGTACCCTTTCTAAACGTAAAATGAGCTAAGAAAATAGGTTATTCCCACTACTGCACGGCAAAATTACATAACGTTAACTTTCTGTGCATTTGTGGTGTAGTAACCGTTGTAGGATTTTGCTGTACAGACGGATCAGCTGTTGCATTATTTGCTGTTATCTGTGACATAAGCACGGAAACTCAGCGTTATGAGTTCGGTTTTTTCTTGATACTCAGTTGAATAAACAAAAATATGCATGTTGTTTACAAGTTTTTTGATATGGTAATGAAAAATAATGTTCAATACTTTTCTCAACAGTGCTATTGAGTACTGAGTAGCATTCAAAAGTATCCATAAGTGCATAGAGTAAGAACTTCTAATTACTGTGACTGTATACTATGATATGTAGAACAGTCTCCTACCTTGGGGATTATAATTTGCCACCTTTCTTAGAATGGCAATCCCTAAGAACTTGGAAGCGGCAAGAGTCTCAGTTTTTTTGCTTTTAATTCCGTAATCTTTTTAAATTATGTAGGGTCCTGTCAAGAAGAATTTGCTGATAATACGTGATGATAAAAATATACAAAACACTAGTTTAATATAACCCAAATTTTTAGTTCTTTATTCTATTAGGTAGAGAGTGAGCGTTTGGCAGAGCATAAGCCTTCAAAGCCAACCTCTGACTTCACAACTCCAATGGACATTTTGAGACATCCGAACATACGCACAAAGTTCTTCATCCTCTCGTTTGATTGGGTGGCTAACGCTGTTGTCTACAATGGCCTCTCGTACAATGCTACCAACCTGGGCGTAAGCGACTATCTCGCTTTTTTCATAGGTTGGTTTAATCTTTGTGGTTAATCGTTATCCTAACAAAAAGCCAATAACCATCACTATTTTTAGAAATTTGGACATTTATAAGGCAAGTTAGGTAGTACAGTATTGGCAAGTCCTCTCTGATAATTTGGTTGTCTAACATTATTATAAATTATTATAGTTGTGTTAAGCATTATAAATAATAACATTTATGTGACAAAACCAAACCAATCATAATCTGTCATCAAAACTGACTCAATTGACTTTCATGCTACAAATTTGATCACTGTTAACATAACTGCACTAGCATACTGTGATAAAGTAAGAAATTTAGGACCGACTCTCTCAACACTAAAATCTTGTAGAAATGTTTTTTCGTCAATACATTTACTAAAGAGATTACAAACTCCCTTACTTACCATTGCACAAAATAAAGCTTCACCTCATCATATCATGACTGTAAATCCTGCTGGTATGTTGCAACACTCACAGAATCATTGATTGAGATTTACCTATAAATTCTTACGCTTTGTGACCTTTTTACATTGAATCAAAAATATTAAAATTGAATGATCAGAGGTTAGTTAAAATAACTTTGTAAGCATTTTTCATTTCTGACAAAATAGATCACAAAATAAATTTTAAAGTGACTTTAGCTTTGTAGCTAAAGGTAGTTGGAGTAGCTCACGCACTGCATCTTATACGTTGCACCTTACCTACTCATGTAGGAGAACATCATATAACAATCCCTTATCACAATTGCCTGCCATCTTTGGAACAACCTACTTTTCTCCATAAAAATGCTTGATCGTCCCCGGTTTGAGTACACTAAAAAGATTGTACTCAAAGGGTATGGCATCGGTTGGCATGTCATAGAACTGTTTTGGTGCTTGTGTGATTGCTGACTGAGTGTGTGAGTCATTTAGTTAGTTAATTTTGTTATTTAAGAATTGTTTTTGAAGGACTGTTTGTCTGTATAATGTTTTATATTACCATATTTTAAATGAATGCAGGTTAAGTATAAGCAAGGGCCACGAACCTAACTTTGCCAGTTGAAATAAAGGATTTTCATTTCATTTCATATAGTTTTTTATCCTAGAGATAAACTAGACATTTTACCTTCAGGTTGATCTTTTTCCTGTCTTAAAAAAATGGGGTTAGTTGAGCCTACAACAGAGTGGTGTATTCAATATCATATTTGTGGACTCCACCAATTTTTTAACCAAACCAAATTGAATTACAACTCCTTATAAAACTATCACATCTACTATGTCATCTCAACTGTCTTAGTATCTAAAACTAGGAGAGGAAATACTAAGAAGAAGAAAACTAAAAGAATTGTTACAGTAGCCAAAAACATATATACGGTAAGAAAATCACACCCTACTATGTAATTCAAAATCAAAACAATTGGAATGTGTGTTTATTACTGTAACAGAAGGACTCCATCACATAGTCTTTATGGATCAGGTAACAATGGGTACGTATAGGGATTGTGTGAGAGGGACCTCTCGATGTTTGCTCATATAAACTTATCCCCACAATCTCATTGTTGTCGATGTTTTTGTAGGAGGAGCCATAGAGATCCCCAGCTATGTGTTGACATGGTGGGCTATGGACTATTACGGTCGCAGACTTGTTCTGTGTCTCTCAATGCTGCTTGGAGGAGTAGCCTGTGTTTCATGTTTATTTGTACCTGAAAGTAAGTACAGCTGATGCTAAGTAATTAGGTGATTTGGTCGCCAATTAATAGATTATTGATTAAATCTTGATAAAAGTTGGCCTTAACATCATCTCTCCCTGCTTTTTAAGTCTTGATATGTTCCTAATTAAAGAATAAATTATCTTAGACAGTAACAACGGTACACAGATCACCATTCATATGCAGCTATAACATAAGCACCTTCTGTTCAAAGGCCGAGAAGTCTAAGGCTTTTTTTGAGAATCAGCACTTAAAATTGAAGGTTCAAAACCATGCTAGGGAGGGACCCATCTAAGAATAAATTGTAGCAGTTTACAGGACGGGTCAATTATTTCAATATTTAAAAGCTGCATCAAAAATCAGGAATTTTGCTATTTATTGCTTATCCTTAGCCTACTTTTGTGTGTGTGTGTTCACCAAAAAGTTGTTTTAAAATTTGAAAAAATTTGATTTATATGTTCATAACATCATACTAAAATCATTTATTTATCCACGGAGTTCAAAGGGTTGGTCCAATAACAAAAACAAACCAATATTTAATTGAATCTTAATAATCTTTAACTCTTTTCAGAGGCTGTGTGGGTCACAGTCTCTCTGGCGATGGTGGGCAAGTTTGGCAATGCGGCCGCCTTCGCAGTGTTCTACGTCTTTGTTGGGGAGTTACTTCCCACTGTACTCCGCAGTCAAGCTATGGGCATCGGAAGTTTTATTGCTGGCATTGGACTGCTCAGCTTCCCTCACATTGTCAACTTGGTGAGTTCATTAAGTTGGTTGGAACCACTTGAAAAATATGCTTTTGTTAAGAGTCTTCATCACCCGTGGGGTAGTTTCATTTTGGGAGTGTGGCCTTGGGAGGGGGGGGTGTGTGGGCTTGGGGGGTGTGGGAGTTGTGTGGGGGGGAGGGTAGCATGGGTTATTATGCGCACAGTTCTAAAAAAAATTGTTAACACACTAATAGTATCAGAAATAAGCAGCTAAATAAAAAGATATATTTTGTCTTTTTTTAGAGGAGTGATGATCCTAATCATAAAAATTAAAGATGCATCCAAGTAAAAAGAAAGATTTTACCTGAGCAATTAAGGATTTAAAAAAGATAAAGTCTCTGTAGAAGGTTCAATTCAGAAAGGTGTATTTGCTTCCATTTTTTTCGAAAGGACAACTGCCAGTGCAAACCTTACTAGAAATAAGTGTAATTTTAATAATTTTATAAATCATATTGCTTTACAAAAAGTTCAAATAAAAACTTAAATAAAATAAAACTTACAAGAATGGACCAATCTAGAAACTAGATTTTATAAATAGTAGCACAAAGCATTTCCAAAAAAATATAAATAAATTAGGAACAATTTGTCCTTCATAGAGGATGCTCAATCCATTGTCTTGGACCTCTTATATAACAATACATGATTTTTTTGTTCAGGCGAGGTACAGCAGAGTTATGCCCCTGATTGTGATGGGCACTTTGTCCTTAGCTGGGGCTGCAGTGTCTGTCTTCCTACCTGAGACACTTCACATTCATCTGCCCCAAACTATTGCTGAAGGCGAGGCTTTAAAAGCCACGTTCAGCTTGTGCTCTATAACGTCCAAGCGCAGGTATACCAGTTATTACGAATTGGCATTAGCTATTTATTTTATATTGCATGTTTTTACAGAAAAACATGTCAGTTTTTTTACTTTTAGAGTAAGTAACGTTTTGATTTATACCAGTTGAAAATATAGGTTTTTTTGTGTGTACATTTCCATCAGTTAGGTATTTTTTAAGGGAACGGTCCAAACACTGGTCTTGTTACTATATAACGAGGTTGATGTTGAGTTTTATAACATTTTAATAGCAAGTGACAAATGGCATCTCAATTCAGTACCTGTCATGAAATCTACGATTTACATAATATTAATTTTTAACACTAACAAGTTTTCTTTCTTTAGTAATCAAGTGTTAAGTAATCTTTAGTAGTAAGTATAACCTTTCTTTGTAGTTCAAGTGTTAAATATTAGATCAAATAAAATATTTATACCGCTATTTATTTTGAGGAAAGAATTCTGCTGTTTTCCACTTGATTTGGTTTCCACAATCTGCTTCCTGCCAGTGATAATTGGCAAATCGTCTCTCATTCCCACAACTTTCACCAAACACTGTTTGCAGACGCAGGAGACCCCCAGATGCACCTGAAGACCACTCTAACTCCAAGCTGCCCAACGGAGCCCCCGCCACGGACAATGAACTTCTAGAAATTGTGTCTCCCATCCAAGTCATCATCACAGACTTTGACGCAGAGAACTCACTTGAGCTTGAGACCAAGCAATAATGCACTTAGTGATAGTCGTAATAAATGCCACTTTTTACAAAATCTGACTGGTCATTGCCCTTTACAAGAATGTGCTTGATATGGTTTCAATAACTCCCACTGGAGAATAAGGCTTCAACAACTGTCTTCAACCCCCGTTACAGCAGTAAAATCTGCACTTCTTTCTTTCCAACTCCTTCCAATCTATCTAGCTTCTCTTTCAACACTTTGCTTCAAACTCTCCCTTTGCCTTTATCTTCTTTCACCTTGCAGGCTCCTCCAGTCCTTGATTTCTCAGAGCAGGGCCGTCCCTAGAGTTGGCAGCACCCGGAGCAAACGTGGTCGTGGCGCCCCCTCCCCCCAGCAGTAATAGTCGCATTCGCATATTTTAATACAAATAGCCGCGGTGCCCCCTCAGCCACAGTTCGGCCCTGTCTCAGAGCATGGTTTGATTTCCTCAGCGTGTGGCCATTCATTTCCTCTCATCCTCTTTATTTTCTTATTTACAAGCAGCTAGTCCAATAACTGAGGCAATTTACTGTAGGAAATCACCTCTGACCACAAAGTATTCATGATTCTTCAAAGGCTACGACATTAATATTATAAATCGGTGTGTCACTCACTATCTTTGAAGTTTTCCATGATTCACACCTCACCTGAGTAGGAGAACTGATTAAATGTAAAGCCTTGACTAAGTTAGTCTAAACATTTTTGTAATTCTCTACAATGGGTAGGCTACATTTGAACGCAAGCTCATTTTAAAGTGCTAGGAATTGCCACCTTTCAACTATGTAAACTAGCTAATACAAAGTAGATTCTAGTGATTTATCAAGATTTTACAAGTCTGTAGATGCAGCTAATTAAGAAACCCTTGGTCTGAAAGTGCTACTTGTAAATTGCTTGTTTATTCTTTAAATTTTATATATTTTTTATTTTTATATATTTTTTATTTTTATATATTTTTTATTTATATATTTTTTATTTTTTTATTTTTATATATTTTTTATTTTTATATATTTTTTATTTTTAGACATTAAGTTTAACTGAAAAGTACAATGCTATAAAAAAATCACACTAATGAATTTTTAATATAGCAGCATTCCAACAATCCTACAAACTCATTGAGAATTTTATTTATATGCACACAAAGTTTTTGATTTTACAAAAAATGTTAAATATAGGTAGTAAAATATAAAATAAATCCTTAAACACAAATTGTCAATGCCGGCAATTAGTTGCTCGCTATGGTAACTGCAATAGGTTGTTTACAGTCTCTGACTAGTTCATTTCATAAAAAGTAAGAGCGGTTCCCTGATTCCATTTACTCATCAGACTTGGATACGATAATAACTGGGAACGCACAATAATTTTAGGCCGGCATGATATATGCCGGTTGCCTGATTCAAAATTTAAACATGGATGAATATGAACAATAACAAAACATTGACCTTGTCAAAAGACTGCTTCAAAATGAGAGTTTTTACAGTGCATTATCTTATCACTATTGACTAACCAATTTGTTATTCTAACTTTTGATCCGCATTATATTGTCTAAATCCAAAACCAATCAGATTTATCAAATATCCCAACCCTATTGCCTCTACGCCTGTGTTTTCCATCCAGATACTAATTTTTCGATGACAGTAAAAGAAGTAAAATAGGAAAATTCTTAGTCTGAAAATATATGACGTTCAGTGACTTCCGTGGCCCTCTACAGTGCATTACGCAACATTTCGGGGACTTCCGTTACTTCGGTGACCGGTAGATGCCCTGTACAAACTTCTTTTTTCCAAAAAAAGTATTTACATACAAATTAAAAATAGTAATGGAGATTCGTTTAGTAAGGTATGCACGTTTGTTGCAACAAAGTTAAATTACGCCTAATTCAGGGAAACTCCTGCTGAAAGAGTGCTGCCTTTAGAGCAGCTACAAACATCTCCTAATCTTTAGTTTAATCCATACATCCAAATTACTTCAAAACTTCTAATGGCTACAGGTCGTTACAACATAAGAACCAAGTAGTTATAATGTTTTATTGAACCTCAACAATTCAGCGTAAATTATTTACAGCTTAAAAAAAATCAAAATTTTAAAACTCAACACATTGAGTAAAATGAACACACAATTCAATGAGGGCTACTAACCGATATCACAAACTCAATAATTCGTTACATGAACAATTATTTTTAAAACATTACAATGATTACTAATTTAAAATTAACATGACCGAGATTAACTACAATCACAGAATGCTCCTAATGACTAGTTAATTTAAATCAAATTCCTTTCTTACTAAACGAGGCATTACATAACTAAAATTTATTATATATATTTATTTTATGAAAAATATCAAAAAACAAAGAAGACATGAACATAGAGGATAAAATCTAGTTAGGAAAATTAAATTCTGATTCAAGATGTAAAAAAGATAAAATAACATAGCCATGGTCGGGAGAAAAAGACTTAAAGCTGCAAGTCTTACTGTATTGAGACTTCAGAGTCTTAATTAACAAAGTTATTTGTTTTATCTTATAAAATTGTAATTTTGTTGCTATATCTTTCCTTGTGACAAGTAAACATAGTTTATAATAATATAGAAATAACTAAGGACATATATTGCAAGAATCAAAAAACAGTTTTTAGGAAAGTTATTATCCCACACGCTCATTTTTTTACTTATTTTGTAGATCCAATGTGGAATATATTTAATATTTGTTTCACTTAATGGTTATTGAAAAAAAAAACACATTAACTATTGGTATTCACAAAACAATGATAATGGCATGAAAATGTACCTAATGTTAAAGAAAACATAACTTTTATAAAAACATATAAAAGAAAAATTTATTTTTTCAAATCCTACAAGTAATTTTATTTTTATACAACAAATATTTAGCAACCGAGTATGTTGTTCACAAGTAATATCCTTAACCCATTTGCACCGTCTTATTTATTGACCAAAAATTCCAGTATCACTGAAACATTAAAAATAAAAAGATATATATTTGACTATTTTAATGATGATTTATAGTATTTTATAGCTGAAAATAATAATAAAATTTAGATTTTTTATTATTTTGACTTTTGTATATATATTCATATGTAATTAGGATTAGGATACGTTTACACTATTTTTTGTATTTCTAAAAAAATAGGTGCATATATATACTTGCCTGAAAAATATTAATACTATTTTTTTATTGTTATATAGTATTCTATAGCTCTGACAATAATATAAAACATATAATGTATATAAAATTTTGTATATTATATGTACATGTAAATGTATTTAGGACACGTTTACACTTTTTTTCATATTTTTTATAAAAATAATTAAATAGCTGCCTGTATTACGTAAATATGAAATCATTCAAGGAACATAATATTTTGATGAACAAATTTAAATATTATATGTATATATTGTACATAATGGGTACATTTTTTGTATAATGGCTCATTTGAATAAAAATCAAATTTTAAAATTTAATGGCTGACGTACCAGTACGTCAGCCGTGATACCATACATCACGGACTTGACGTACTGGTACGTCATCCGATGCAAATGGGTTAATATGTAGTTGAAATAGGTGTAACTGTACCTTATAGACAAACATGTTCAATTACAATACAGGTATATAAAATATATATTTAATATATATGTATTTGCTTTACTTTAAATATATTCACTATTCAAAAGTATACAATATCTTTCATCCTCCAAAGATGGAGAAGTTGACAGACTTACCATACAAATTAAAAACATAATAACGAATAAGCAACGGAATGTATTGTAGGGTGGGATTTCTACATTGCAGACAAGTCTCAAAGACAAAATATTTACTCTATTCTTGTTGCATCAGTCAGTATCAAGGAAAATCTGATAATCTTGAAATCTACAAAATTTGCAGGGATTAACCACAAACAATCAAATTAAAGCTTTAAACATGGACAAAAGTTGCTGGATACATAGATAAACGTTGCAAAGGATTAAAACATAACAAAATAACTAAAATGAGTTACCTAACGTAAAAATTCACTTATGGAGCTATAAAAGCAAAATAAGTAGATTTATTCACAGCACCGATGCAAATGATGAGACCTAAGAGTTTAACTTTCTTCTATACCATGAGCGAAGATCATCACCAGACCAGGTTCAGCCATCATGTCTTCATTTATGTGAAGATTGTCACACTGAAGAACTACGACTGCCTGAAAACATCGGGTATGGGTGAATAGGTAATTTAAAACTAATTATGATGTTTTCACCAGAAACACTATAAGTGTCCAATAGTGTAATAACTAGAGCCAGTATTTACCAATATGTTTTTTTAGAGTCAAAATTACTACTTAGTCTCGTTGATGTAATTAAGGGTGGAATATGTAGCCTACAAATGTTTTATATTTTACAAACCTAAATAACTTAGTATTTAACCATAAGTAATGCACCTTTCCCTAGAATTTTGTACTTTCGCAATAATTCATCAACCTATCTATATATTAATAGGCAAGCATGATCCTTTAAAACCTTTTTTCTCAGCTCGTGTGCATCGCAGGGAAAATCTACGCATGCTGTCAGATCCCTTTAAAAACTCAAATAGGCTCAAATATAAGCACAAAAAATTAATTTGAAATTTTAAAAAAATTAACATGGGCTTTACGGGTTGCCATGCTGGTGACACATATATAGCTAACTAAATAATTTCAACCACGTACTAACCCATTCTTGACTGTATAGAGTTGCTGATGAGCTGATGTGCCAGCACAAACAATCCTGGGGTATATGTACTTTAAACTTGACCACGTACCACCACAGTCGTCTCTGCATACCATAGGTTGAGAAACACATGGGAACAAGGTTTTATAAGGATAAAAATAGGGTTTTCCCATTTTTGACCCTTAACCCTAGAGCTGGCAGTAGTGTAACGCTGTACTGGCATAGGGATTTTATTAATTATGTAATATCATTTTTAAACCATCATAAAAATTAGAAATAGCAACATAACTGTGGATTATTATATATAATTTTGTTCAGAATAAAACAAAGAACAATAATATAGGTGGTTTACATGGTTACCACAAAAAATTTTTTTTTTAGTTTTTCCGAATTTTAGGCATTATTATTTTTTTTATAAAATGTTTTATATTCCGCCGTGTAGCTAGGTGCAGGTTAGACTTATCATCATAAGGTAAATTGTAAAGTTGTAGTAAATTTTGTGCTGATTCCAAAAATATATAGTTTATATAGCTTACTTTGTGTATTTTGTTTGATAGCCCTATTATTATGTTG